GGTCCTTTGGGGCCTTTATTCCTGGAATGCAGGAATGGCTGGTCGGCTTACCAATGTCCTCTGCAGTAGGCTCAGACATGTTTCTGTCATGATATTATATGATGATATTTTGATATACATGATATAATAAAAAAAATACATGTTATTTTTAGTTTTGGTATTTTTTTATTTTTGCTCTGATAATTTATTCAGCTCTGATGAAAAAACGTATAATTTATCAACTCTTATAATTATTAATAATAATGTTTTCCACATTTATTGAATTAATGTAAGTTGTTTTGTCAATTATTTTCTTGTAATGAAGGAAGAAAGAAAGAAAGAAAGAAAGAAAGAAGCTTATATGATCCAAATCAAATCCAAGAGGTCTTGGATTTATCCAGTGTCTCAAATTTAAACACAGTTCAAACTTCATTCAGACTTTAAATAAATAAATAAATACATGAATGAATGAAAGAATGAATGAACACATAGATACAGTGTATACATACATAAATACACAAAACATTACTCACCTTATATTAAAAAAAAAATCAGAAAGACTGAAATCTTTTTTTAAGAATAGTCGAATGGGATTACAAATGCAAAAATCTTTATATATATATAAATATATATATAAAATAAAATAAAAATAGTTATGCAAAAACGAAACAAGGAAAAGCAAACATCATGAAACAGAGAAAGCCTTTTTCATGTGTTTGAATGACTTACTCTGATAATCCTCTCAGATCTAGTTCGGTTTAATTCTCCCCTCCCAGTCGGAAACCCTTCAACCAGCCATTCAGAAGAAAATTGAAGTTATAGGTGGATCTGGGAAAGCAAAGGAACCAAGAGAAACAAATTATGTTCCAAAGTGTGTTGTACCTGACATGGGCAGAGGGAGTATCCTCCCTCTTGGAGAGAAGACGTGTTTCTGGGTCTCTGCATAAGCCTGTGGTTTATTCTGAAAGCTCATGCACACAAAAGCTCGGCACATTTCTATTCCAACAACGTGCCAGCTCAAGGGACACCCACAGCTCAATGCATGCTGCTAAAAGAGACTGTTTTTGCTCCAAGACAAGCTCAGAACCTGATATTTTACAGCCTTTATTCTCATATAGACATATTTATTTTAAATAATTAATACATTTACAAATAATTTATTCATTGTATTGTTTGTTTACAAAAAAAGGGGGGGGGGTATCAGTGGAAGTTTTGAATCACTTGGAAATCACTATAGAAAATAGCTGATATTTAACAAAATATATCATAATTGCTGGAAATAAACAAAAAGTGCATTCCAAAGATAATTTTAGCTTTTGGTTGCTTTAGATTTCCATCTGGATCAACTTATCTGACATAAATTAAGAGTTTAATGAATGCGTTATAAGTGACTTTATTATTCAAGGTTCATTGAAAGTGATACCAAGAAGCTTTTTTCATACTTCACTAAAACGTTCTAAACATGCTTGGTTTTTGGACTTTGCTCCAAAGCAGTTGGAACTCTCTATTTTGTATCCTCATTAAAAAGCTTTGAGAATGGTCTAAAACAGCAGGTAAACCCTACTGAGTCTTGTCAGGTCATGGCCCTGCTGCAGTATTGTTCTGTATAATTTTTATTTTTATTTCAGTTTTGGTTATTTCAGTTAAATTTCAGTTCAGTTGAAACGAGAAATGCTACATTGTCAACTAGTTGAAATAAAATGTTTTTTTCTCTCTCTGTAAACTATAATAACCCTGAGCAGTGTGTGTGCAAATGGTCCAGTCTTCCAAGCAGCTTTGCTCTCATACAATTGAGGATTAAGATTTAACAATGGACACATTCCTGAAGAGAATTAGGATTTCTTTTTTTTTTGATTAGTTTATAGGTTATATAACCTTTTTGTGTCTTCAAACAGCAACATTTCTACTTTTCAATGATTATTCATTAGTTGAACTCTGTGAAAGGATTATTTGTGGAAATGTATATTGTTACATAAAGACCAATTGCAGCAAAAATTAGGCGAGCAGGATCTAATAAGCACATATATCTTGTGACAGCTATAGGGTATGTTTACACAACAAAATGTACTGAAAACAGAAAAGTTTTTCCTTTGCGTTTTTGAACAGTTTTGCATACAGGTGACATTGTTGTCAAAACGATCCTCATTCACACAGATCCGTGGAAATGCAGAATTATTCATGCCAGGTCAGTAACCGATGATGTCATTTTGTAAAGAAGCACTACGTATCTGCGCAGATACGCATTTCTATAGACTAAACATGTAATAGCCTATGTGTGCGCTTGACATGACCGTACACAGGGACTACAATGGCATTATTTTCAAATAACGTGCACTTTGAAACACAGTTTCAAAAGTTGGTCAGACTAGTTCTTAAAACTCAGTCTTAACATGAAAGTTTATGCAACCGGATCCAAAAGATCTGAGATTGGTCATTTGAAACAGGAAAGTGCTAGTTACATGTATGCTAATGAAATACATACATAAATATATGTGTGTGTATGTATATATATATATATATATATATAAAATGTTAAATGATTTACAGTTTTACATAGTAAACCCAAAAGTGGTCAACAGTGTCAATATTTATTCTGCAATAGTTAAACGATTTCTTTTTTAAATATGTGTCATGCTAGTCCTGTTACATTCTGAATGGGGTTGAATGTTACAAGGTTGAAGATCAATTAAAAACTGCACAACTACATATTGTTACGAGACATGAGACGTGCAAATCCAAATGCAAGGCTTTATTCATAGACATGGTTAGAGACAGGCAAGGGTCAGATAATGGCAACAGGTATATAGAGGGACACAAGAATATTCCTAGGGCTAGCGTGGGTCTACGATCGGCGAACAGAATTAACAGGGCGAGACTAGAGGAGTAAATCCAAGAACAAAGCAAAGGTCCAGGCAGGGGCAAACAGAATCTGAATAGGGCAAGACGAGAGGGAGAATCCAAGGTACACAGGCAAAGATCAGGATACGAGAAAACAGACGAGGCAGACTAAGCTAAAGCTGGGTAAATTAAACAGGCTCGACAGGGATCAGAGTGAGTGTTATATAGGGAAGGTGTGATTGATGACAGCTGTGTGCAATCAGTGCTGTGTGCAATCAACTGTGTGCGTGTAATCAGTGCAATGGATGATGGGAACTGTAGTCCGGGTGAAGTGCAACAGTGGTGTGGCGCAAGAGTCCATAGCAGTGGAAAGGTGACCTCTGGTGGCAAGCAGACGGAAGTTCATAGACCGGATTCATGACACTGGGTCAAACATAATAACCCAACTTGTTGGATTAAAACAATCCAGCGCTTGGTTCATCCCTTTTTGACCCAGAGCTGGGTTGCCAAAATAACCCAGCCATTTTTAGAGTGTATAATTAGTATGATTATTAGATACAAATTACAGATCATTTTCAATTACATATTATTAATCTGGTGGATTGATTGATTGATTTTATTTCCATATAATAATACAGTAATAAATAAGCATGTCATTGGTGTTCATTTATTGGTAGTCTGGCACTGTGGGAATGTCAGTGAAATGGGAACAAATGCAGTAAATGCAGGGACTGCATGGTGTAATCTCTCTCCCCTGACGCAATGCGAAAATCGATGTCCTGCCACAACTGGGGATTAGCCAAGGCTAAGAGAAAATAATGATAATAATTACAATTATCTGGTGGCAAGCAGACAGAAGTTCATGGACCGGATTCGTGACACATATTAAGTCAGTGTTGTGCTTTGTGCACAAAATATAGTGAAATATACGAAATCAGACATCAAAAGACTACAGAGAACAGTTCAGACTGCTGAAAGGATTATTGGTGCCCCTCTGCCTACCCTCCAAGAACTGTATACATCCAGAGTGAGGAAAAGGGCTCAGAAAATCACTCTGGATCCATCACATTCACGCCATCTCCTTTTTAAACTTTTGCCATCTGGTTGGCGTTACAGAGCACCGAATACCAGGAGAGCCAGGCACAAGAACAGTTTATTTCCCCAGGCAATCTACCTCATGAACAGTTAATGTTCTCCCACTGTGCAATTAAATTATGTGCAATAACCTTATACTTATTTATCACCCTAAATCCAAGTACATCCCTACAACTTTATTTTATTTTATTCTATTCCTATTCTATCTATAGCACACCTGTACATACAATTTATTCTTTTTTTGCAACAGTGGTGTGGTGCAAGAGTCCATAGTAGTGGAAGGGCAACCTCTGGTGGCAAGCAGACAGAAGTTCATGGACCGGATTCGTGACACATATTAAGTCAGTGTTGTGCTTTGTGCACAAAATATAGTGAAATATACGAAATCAGACATCAAAAGACTACAGAGAACAGTTCAGACTGCTGAAAGGATTATTGGTGCCCCCCTGCCTACCCTCCAAGAACTGTATACATCCAGAGTGAGGAAAAGGGCTCAGAAAATCACTCTGGATCCATCACATTCACGCCATCTCCTTTTTAAACTTTTGCCATCTGGTTGGCGTTACAGAGCACCGAATACCAGGAGAGCCAGGCACAAGAACAGTTTATTTCCCCAGGCAATCTACCTCATGAACAGTTAATGTTCTCCCACTGTGCAATTAAATTATGTGCAATAACCTTATACTTATTTATCACCCTAAATCCAAGTACATCCCTACAACTTTATTTTATTTTATTCTATTCCTATTCTATCTATAGCACACCTGTACATACAATTTATTCTTTTTTTGTGGTTTATATTTATGCATGTGTATTTTATTCACATCTTATTTTTATTATCTGTGTGTTGTTGTTGTGTACTGGAAGCGTGTGACACTATAACAAATTCCTTTTATGTGCAAACATACTTGGCAATAAAGCTCTTTCTGATTCTGATTCTGATTCTTAATATGAACAATAAAGACTGTTACCTCCGTTTGAACCATGTGCAGAAAACATTGCTTCTTTCAATATGCTGATAGAAAGACCACTATTTAAAAAATTGATATCACTGCACAACGGTTTTTAAGAAAGACAACACAGTTAAATTTTTCTATACTTAAAAGACTTAGTATTTTAATTGCAATAAATTTAGCTAAATTACTGCTTACATTTTTTTTTAATAATGGTGGGTTCTTGCAAATTGGCTGATATTACTAATAAAAAGTTCTATAATTTGCTTTATGTTTACTTCATACGGTGTTTTAAGTATTATAAAGTACACAATCACAGTTCATAAGTAATGTTGCCAAATACTCCAATGTACATTACATCCTGTCCATTACTTTCAGTTGCATACAGTTCCATCCAGGTATTCACTAGGTTTTACAAAACAACATATATACACATAAAACAAATTACAAAGTGTGATGATATATATTACCTCAATGTATACCATTATGACATGACAAGAAACTATGAAACAGTGAGCTTATAATGACCTGACACAATAACAGTAAATCAATGTAACAATGTTCTGATCTGATGAACCATATTATCCATACCTAGGCATGTTTACTTTGAGTATAATATATTACTTTCTAATGTTGATACTACTTGAATGTTGTCCTTTAAATGTGTAAATAATGCAAATACAAATATATGTATTAGATCCAGGAAATAACAGCATCCGATCAATAAATCTACAAATTAACACAAGCTCATGATCAAAACCTTTACATTTGGCATGGATATGGATATTTCCTATAACACTTTTTGGCGCAATACACACATTTGACTTTCCAAAAGTACTGGAAGCATAACTTCAGATAGTGGTCTCCTGGTCTGGATTTTCGCTGCATTTTACAATAGCTGAAGATACATTCCCATTGTCAGAAGAAACACCATTGTCATCCTGTTCTGGAGCTTTTAATTGGTTCTTTAGTGCAAGCTTCTTTTCGCGATGAGACAGTCTGTTGTACAGGATTCCCCACAACACGTAGGATAAGGAATACAGGCCATAAATAAGACCCAAGAAAGCATTTCTGTAGGGCAAAAAAGAAAGACAGAATCTTTATATCTGTGAAAGTTTTTGTATGTAGTTTTGTAGACTTTATGACTACAAACTGTCAACATGGTGGTAATGAAATCTTTTCTAGAACAAAGGGTTAAAAATGTTGTAGAGTTGCAGAAATGTCCATTTTTGAGCTGATGGTGGCGCTAGTGGGTGCCTGAGGATTATAATTGGGAGGATTATTCTGGTCATTCAAAACAGTTTCACAACAACAAACACACTAGGGTATCCTACACCTTTGGTGTTTTGCCCCTTACAAATTTATGACCAAATGCCATAAGGAAACATGCATGTAATCAGAAATAGACTTCAGATAACCTTTGCTATCATGTGCCTGTCCAATATTTTTCATCAAACACTAAGAAATAAGATAAAGCTATTCACTAGTTGGATTGTAATTGCTAGCTGCAAACAGTTCATATTCATGACTAGTTACCATGAATGCGAATGTTTTCAGAATGATCAAGCATGACAACAGTGGTTGTCACTGTAGCATTTTGCCAAATTAAATTTAAGGACATATCATTTGTTTCAATGTTACAATACATAAATATTGTGGCTCTGTGGTTTTATACAGACATGAATCTTTGTTTTTTGTTTTTTTGTGGACCATCTAGCCAATGATTGGAAAAGTGTGTATGAAAATGCTGAATTTCTGCCAGTCTAAGTTAACTAACCTGAAGGCACCAGAATCATAGATACGACACGCTCCTCTCCCTCCACATTGTTTTGTGCCCCATTTCAGACAGGTCCTGTCAATCAAGGCTCCGAAATAAATAGGAGGGGGAATGCCACCTAGAAAAGTTTCTCAGATCAGCTAAAGATACTTTTTTTTAATCTGTTGTTTAATAATCTTGTGTTGAGAATGAAATAAATCTTCTTACCCAGTGTCCGAACAATCAAAATATAAATACCAAGAGCCAAAGACTTTAGTTCTGGATTTATGGTTCTAAGAAAAAAACAGTCATGAGGAAATGTATTCATTTGTAAAACAAATATTAAATTGTTTTTTTCGTATTCAGTTCTAAAACAAAGATCCCATATCACAGAATTTAATTTTGATTTGTGCCCCTGGCCCTAACGGGTTGGTTAATTTCAAACAGTATATACAGGGCCGCATTAACCACTGGGCTAGGGGGGGCTGAAGCCCCGGGGCCCGGACAAGGAGGGGGCCTGTTGAGTAGATTGACTGGTCATCGGTAGCGCCGATTGCCAAAGCCCCGCCCCTCACTTATTAACGCTATTATTTAGTGGAGCTTTCCCATATATTCCATGCATTACCTTTAGAGATTAAAACGTTTGAATTTGGTTTGCCAATCAAATGCATTTATTCTATATTTATTTTACTTTTGAACGACCCGTGCATCACGTATCAATCAAGTGATCACGGCAATGTCCGCATTCACCTCTCTTCACTTCGTTCTGGCATAATCTGGAAATGGTCATGCAAAGAACAATCTTCGATAAGTAAAAATGTAAACTAAAGGAAGCGAGAGAGGGGCTATTCTAAAAAAAAATGAAGAGAGGGGGGAAAACATGAGTTAGTCAGAAATCCCCAGCTATCAGGTTATTTTACTAAAGCTGATGATGGAGTGGAAGTTGTGAAACAGCAAGTGGACCGGGCACATGGAGCAGATACAATCACAGCATCATCGTCCCCACAGATTTTAGGTTAGTTTGATTAACAAGTTAACAATTTGATGGATGTATATTGATTTTTGTGTTTGAACAAAGTATATTCGCTTATGGGTTGAGAGATAAACCGGTAGAAATACATCAATCATTTTGCGTGGCATTAAGCTTTTCATTTAAACGCATTTTAAGCATTATGGTTTAAAAACAAATTTAACTTGTTCAGGGACATTAAGCAGTGGGACAGAATTCATGTTGGCAAATGCGCGCATTAAGATGGTTACGGCCTGATTTGCGTGGCGTGCACCTGCTAGTACAGCGCCAGTCTAAACTTGAGTTATTTTTCGCGCCTTGTGTTTAAACGTTCAAATGTTATGTGTCAAAATGTCTCCTCATCAACACAGTCATTTGTGTCGTAAATGAACGTTAATAGTTAAATATAAAGCAAGTGTAGTAGTAGGCTATGTGAGATCCTAATATGATGAGATTTTAAAGGGATAGTTCATCCAAAAATGAAAATACTGTCATAATTTACTCAAGTTACCTCAAGTTGTTCTAAACCAGTATGAATTTCTTTGTTCTCCTCAACATAAAAGAAGACATTTTGAAGAATGTTTGTGACTAGTAAGTTTCTGATCCCATTGACTCCAGTAGTGTATTTTGTTTTTCATACTATGGAAGTCATGGGGGCCCAGCAACTGTTGGGTTACCAGTATTGTTCCAAATATATACTTTTACATTCAACAGCAGAAGGAAACACATACAGGTTTAGAACAACAACAGACTTTTAATTTGTGGGTGAGCTATTCCTCTAAAGCAGCCTAATTTAGCTAATTTAGCCTAATTTATGTCAATGATGTTAATCAAACGTTAGAAAGAAAATCACTCATTGTCCATTACCAAATCACTTTTGTAAAATAAATAAGAATGAATGCATATTGAATTTATACAGTGAAGACTATTCAGTTTGTTTGTACATTTATTTTATACAATATAATTTCTTATTCAGTGCTTTAAGTGTTTCAAGTAGGTCTATTTTTGTAATTTGTGGCTGTTTAAAGCTATATATACAGTATATTTTATTTGTAATAGGGGGCCCTGCAGTAAGTCATAGCCCCGGGGCCCTGTAAGGTCTTAATGCGGCCCTGAGTATATACAAGTCTATACCAATAAAGAAACATATTTTTGTATCATGAGGACCCACATACTGTATTACACAGTTTTCCTTAAAGACAATCTAGCCTCTAAAGGTGTCTATTGTTTTACTTTTGGGGAGATTTATTACCTGAGCAGAATAATGTAACCTGGTGTGGCCCCACAAGCCGAGAGAAAGGCACCAATGACTGTCACTGCCATGTAGAACTTAAACATGTTGTCACAATCACTCTTGCGAGGGCACTGGCCCAGCACTGATGACATGTTTTCAAATGGGAGCGGCGACTCTCCAATACAGGTGCAGTTGTGGAATACCTTTGAAAATAATGAGATTTTGTCAACTACTACAATACCAGCAAATGTAGTAGGGTCTAAATGTCCGAGACTTTTTTTGTTTGTTTGTTTCATTTAAACCTAGCAATAAACAGTTTTAGGATTTTGGACATGCCAGTGAAGGACAAATAAGACATTTAGGTTAAACAAATATTTAACACTGATTCTATGTCACTAATCAAATATAAGCAAACCATGTTCACTTTTTTTATACAAAAGGTCAGATTTCATTGCTCTTTCAACATGCTCTTTGGAACATTCTCAAATTATGTTTGTATAAACCGGTCCATGGCAGCTCGAGAGCAGCTGTCAAAAGGGGGACATAGTAAATACCGAAATATTTTGAAAATCAAATATATTTTTCAGTACAAAATTTTACTCAAATTATTATTCTGACAACATAATTTATGATAAAAAAAGAAGAAGAAAAAAAAATGTACACTGGTATTTTCTCTAGTGGTCTCAGATTTTTGGACCCTATTTTTAGGATTTCATAATTGTCACGGTGCAGGGTGCCTTCTCGGCTTCCCCTGCGGTCTGTGTTGTCCTGTCATGTTCGGTAGCTCGTGGTCTGGGCAATCAGCGCTGATCTCGCAGCGGGGGTTCGCGGATCACGAGCTGACTCTCCCCCACCTGTCGCTCATTCCCCCACTCCCTTATATGTCTCTGCCTTTCTGTCCTTCGTTGTGAGTAGATTGTTTTGTCCTTGCTCGTGTTTTTGTGTAACTTATGAGTGCAAGCATCAGTGTCTGACCCTCTGTTCTCCTGTGCTTAAGGACTCGTAGTCCAGAGATCTGGCAGCTCGAGTGGTCTGCAGTGTATGCCGGCCAGCTCTGGAATCTCCGCTCACCTGAGCAGCAATTAACTATTGTTTATGTTATTTTGTGTTTTGTGGCGAGAATAAAGAATTTCCTTTCTCACCACTCTGCATCTGAGTCCTCTATCTATCCTAGACCCTGACAATAATATAGAGTACACATAAAGCCTAAGATAGGGGGAAAAGCCCTCAAGAACAACATCCATATACTGATAAACTGTAACACATTTACACTTGAGTTTAACATGTAGAGGATCATTATGCATCACCCAACATACTATTATGGTAATCAAATGGAAATAATTAACAATTTAGTTGTAATGGCAAAAAAAATTTTAAAATTATGAAAGATCCCTGGGAGCATCTTGGCCCAACTGTCATCTGACTTTACAGAACATTTTATCTAAATGCCAAATTAATCATAATAATTTTATGTTCGGAAAATGTAACTAAATTGGTAGAATTGTGCATCTTGGCAAAACACTTGTTTTGTTTACTGTGTGGAGACGTGCTAATATCACGTTTGGTCTCGTTCTGTATCGCGTATCTTGTCAGTGTCTGCGATTGCTTGGCCATTTGTTGGGAAAAAAATAAGGAAAGTGTGTCCAGCTGAATTAATTTAGTATTCTGTTAGACAGGTATAAAAAAAGCTTAGTTTACCACGGCAGCAGTCGCGTCACGGCCTCCTCGTGTGAAGACCGAAGAGTGTAAAGACCATCGACTCTACCGTGCGACTCCACCGGGCAGGACACCGGCAAAGGATAAGTATCGCTTTTTATTTCTCCTCTTTCCTACTACTTGTTTCACTTCTGTTTCAGTTTTTATAAACATTTCTTACTATGTGTAAGTAAGTGTTATTTTTTTGCATGTAAGTTTGGCAGTGTTATTTTTTAGGATTATTGATAAACTACTTTTTTTTTCTTTTTTTTTTATTATTTGTATTTGTTATTTAAATTATGTCTTAATTTATTATGTCTGTATAGGTATTTTATTAAGTTTTAGTTTTATTTAATTTTAGTTATTTTAATACTTCAACAAACTTAATGGAAATGAAATAATATATATATATATTTAATTTATAAATGTGTGTGTGTATATATATATA